ATATATATATATATATATATATATATATATATATACACACACACACACTATAGGATGAGTTAAAAATGATTCTGAGGGAAACCGTATCTTCTTTTTAATTAGCTATATATAAAGCTCTCCAAGGAGACATTGACTGGTTCCCCAGTCAATGGAAAGGAATAGCCTCTGGAAAGGAATCTCTCTGTTATATGGCACAAAACATTTTCCAGCTTTTACTTAATAATCTTCCCAATTCATACCTTGTTTAAGCCAGGTGACATCTCTCAATGATGGAGCAATGTGTCTGTTAGGACCATTCCTACTTTGTTGTTGTTGTTGTTGTTATTGTTGTTTGTTTGATTTTTGACTCAATGCTCCCTCCCCTGACCTAAAATGTTTCTTATTCTATTACATAACTCTGCATATCTTAGGCATTTCCCAAGGCACCCAGTTTCCTTCCATATGAAAGCATCTCTGATGACCACTTAATTTCTTGGGGCCTGTATTTTCCTTCCATCAATTCACCTTCCTTCCTTCCTTCCTTCCTTCCATCCTTCCATCCTTCCTTCCTTCATCATAAACTTTTAGACCCAGCTGTTACACCGAGTTAGCTGCTGATATTTGTTAAGCAACATAATGATGTAGATCTTGTACTTAAGTCTGGGGGAATTGACAGACAAGTACAGAGAAGTCATGCACAAAAGTGGGAGATAAGCATCACTGTTACTAAACTAGCATTGTAGAGATAAATTGTTTTGATATGACATTAATTTTTGAGGAAGACACATTAATTCCTCTGGTGGAAGTGGGAAAGGGGCTTAGCCTCAAATTCTGAACAGGACCTAAGGACAAAGGGAAAGGACAATTTAAGGAGGGAAAACAGAGCAATAAGACGGGAAAGGGGCCTGCCTGCAAAAGATTTTGATTGGTTGTATTGAAGGGCGGAAGCTCTTGAGGCAGGAGGTGTGGCTTGAGGAGGCCCACATGAGCCACTGAGTTTCATGTCTTTGTATTTATAGATTATTTCATGCACATTTTACTAAAGCCGCATATGCCATGTTATTTCTGTCTTCTCATTTATTCATGTCTTACTGTTAAAACTTTGCCAACAGTGGGAGATGCAGTATAATTCACATCATTGCTTTCTACCTCATTGAATTCCACAGTGCTTTGTTCTTTACACAAGAGTGCTCAGTAAACAGCATTAGTTTAAAATCCATGCAGTGCTGAGTGCCTTCCACATCTTAGGTAGAACTGAGGCAGTAAGATACACAGGGTTGGAGAACACAGTTTCTTAAACCATGACTTACAACCTCACATGTGGTTGGTTGTACTGCGGAGTATTGTGTTATGAAAAATTTAATAACAACAATAACAAAGGTTTCTGAAAAACTGGCCAACAATCGATCTAAACATCAAATGTGTAATGAGATCAGGATGTTTCTGTCTGTGTTTGACTGAGTTTCATTACTCAACTTCCCAGCAACCTTAGTTGAGAGCACACAGTGTGTGCACAGCTGCTTACACAGTGAATGCTGCCTGAAATGCTTAGTTCTTACTCTGTGAACTACAGTGTTTGATTTACACATGAAAGTTCTGATCTTATAGAAATGCAATGGTCTAGTATAGAAAACATAGACTTGTGACATTTTTCTGCCATCATCCCTAAACACGTTCAATTCTTCTGGCTTTGAATTGTATTGTGTTTGGTTGCTTGACTTTAAAATTGCTGATCGAGTTGCTAACATGAATTCTATAAATACAATAAAATTTAAATGCATTTTGCCTTAGGAGTAGAGCAGAATTTACCATAATTTCTGAAATATTCCAAAACATGCTTCTGCCCTTCTTAGTATGTATTTTACATAAAGTGGTGTCAGAATTGATAATTATACATTTTTCCCATTTCATTTATTCTTTTAGTATTTCCTATATGCATGTATAGCATTTTGATAATATTCAACTCCCCACTCACCTCTTCTACCTTTTTCCGGATAACCCCGAGTCTGCTTCCCAACTTTATGCACTCATTTAATCTTTTTTCTTTTTTATAATTCATGGAGTCCAACTAGTGCATAGGTCTGGGGCCACCTACTGGAGCATGGCCAACTCACCAGGGACCACACCTCTAAAGAAAACTGACTCTCCCTCTTCTAGCAGCCATTGACTCTCAATAGCTCCTCAGCTAGGAGCAGGTCTGGTTGCCTCCCTTACCTGCCCATGCTAGAATGTTGACTGGCTTGATCTTAGGCATATCTTGTGCCAGCAAGTACAGTTCCTGGGACTTCACAGGTGCAATGGTTCTGTCAGTAAATGTTTTTATCTGTCTACCTATGGCACATCCTTAGACAGGAATAGAATAATAGATCTCAGAGGGACATTTAAGATCCAAATTATAGCAGGAGTTTAAAGAGAACTATGCAGTCAATAGCATGAGAAATGTAAGGACCTAAATAAAGGCCCTGGATGTAGAAATGGAGAGGAAGGGATGGACTTTAGAGACAGAAAATGGGAATCATAAGGAGGAAATCTGGGCTGACTACATAATTGGCAAAAGTGATAAGGGACATTCTTGAGAATGTGAACCTATTTTCTTCTTTGCTGGGTCCAGTTGGCAACACTATTAGTTAAGAAGGGGAGACTAAATACCTAAGTTTTATTTCTGTGATGCAGAATAAGCGTGGGATAAGAAGAGATGTAGGATCTGGTCAGATTCCACCTGAGCTCTGGGTTTCACATGAGTGCACACTTTTCATACCAACTTCTCTTTCCCCTCATGTGCCCTCTGGGAAACGTATCACAATCAGGAAGTAGGGAAGGAGGGGACCTGCAGGCTGTGACTGGTTCTACTGATAGTACACGATTTATGCGAAACCCTCAAGTTCCTGCAACAGATGGGATGCCTGGCTCAGAGATGCCAGACACTCACCTACCTTCCCACTTTCCCGACTCTAGACCTAGCCTGGTTCATTGGCAAAGATTGTCTTCTCTGTTCCCAGGTTTCCACCTTTACCACAAGCTGCCCCATCTCATGCCAGAGAGCTGCCTGCTCCTCATCGTGGGTGCTCTAGTGGGCGGCATCATCTTTGGTACCCACCACAAATCGCCTCCAGTCATGGATTCGAGCATTTACTTCCTGTATCTCCTTCCACCCATCGTGCTGGAGAGCGGCTACTTCATGCCCACACGGCCCTTCTTTGAGAACATAGGCTCCATCCTGTGGTGGGCAGGCCTGGGGGCCCTGATCAATGCCTTCGGCATTGGTCTCTCCCTCTACTTCATCTGCCAGATCAAGGCCTTCGGCCTTGGTGACATCAACCTGCTGCAGAACCTGCTGTTTGGTAGCCTGATCTCGGCGGTGGATCCTGTGGCCGTGCTGGCTGTGTTCGAGGAGGCACGTGTGAATGAACAGCTTTACATGATGATCTTCGGGGAGGCGCTGCTCAACGACGGAATCAGTGTGGTGAGTCACCCAGACCTTGTTCCCGGAGGGATGAGGCTGAAGTGGCCATAGGGGCCAGTGCTGCCTCGGCTCTCCATGTAATGGTTGTGGCCCGGATCCTGATGACATTGTGTATTAACTTCTCATTAGTCGCCTTGAAGAGAGAAAAGGAATAGAAAACACATCATTCAGTTTACCTTTCAATTCAAGAATTTTTTTCTTTAGCTTGGAGAAATTATTATTTATAGCCATACTGTGTACACTTTTGGCCAAGACAGTACTTTTGTTTCTGACATATGTCTATATGCATATATGCATACACACATATACTTAAAAATCATAAGACACTAGATAAAGTTAAATAAAATTCCTCTGGTGGTTGAGACATGACAGAGAAGTCATAGAAATAAATCAGCTTGTGTAGTGCCTAGTCACATGCATATGGAAAATGTGAGTGAGGACTCTCTGCTTAGGAATTCTCCAGAGAGAAGCAGAATTGGATGAACAGGCTAGAAAGAGCAAGGCTCAGCACCAGGCCCCAGGAATTGTTCCCAGCCTGGGTTGCTGTATATTCACAACAAGTCAAGCTCAGGGATCATTTTCACTAAAAACTACAGCATTCACCAGCTGTTGGCCTGTAAGAAGTTTATACACACTTTTATGGAATTTTGCTATTTAAAACCTATATTCCTGTACATAAGCTACACTAGAATACATATTTCATTGTAAAAGATTCAAATAAAACAGAATGATTGGTCATAAACAGGAAGGTTCCGCTTGCCTTCTCCCCATTCCTTATGCAAAGAGCAAAGCCTTTAACTCATTTGTCCTTTTCTCTCCCAGCCGTCATGGTGAGCATATACACATCTGCAGATGCATAGTGTCTTGACGACCACTGAGGGATCATATGACATGTGTCGCTTAGCTGTAGCTACTTCGGCTTCTTCCACGTCTCATCAGCCATTGCACAATATTTTGTAGATTAACAATTAATTAACAAGGTTAATGAACACAGTAATATAACACAATTTATTTCACAATTTCCTCTATGGGTGGTTATTTCAGCAGTTTCGATTTTTCTTTGTATAAATCATGTTACAATAAAATATGCTCTTTTTTTTCTCCCTGGCCCTGCTTTTGCATTTGGGACTATTTTAAAACAATATTTTACTAGTAATGAAATATTCAGGTTAAGCAATTTAAAACTTGATACATGTGGCTATTTTAATCACTTCCTATTTCTACCCCATTGGTAAATGAGAGGTTATCACCCTAGGATTGTGGGAATGGGCGAAGACTTGATACCTGTGTCTTAGTTTCTTTTCCATTGCTGTCACAAAACACCAAGCCCAAGGCCAGGTATAAAAGACAGTGTTTAATTGAGCTTGTGGTTTCAGAGGTTTGGAGTACATGATGGGGGAGCAAAGGAAACAGTGTGCTCATATCTTGATCCTCAGGTAGGAGACAGAGAATATTGAGAATGGTGCAAGTCTTTTGAGACCACAGAGCCCATGCCCAGCACACACTTCCTCCAACAAGACAGCATCTCTTAATCCTTCCCAAACCACTCCACCACCTGGGGACCAAGCATTCATACATATGACCCTAGGGGGGACATTCTCAACAGAGGGCTCCAACAGCAGGTCATTAAAAAGTATAAACACAGCCCAGGGGAGTGGGACATCAAATAACACCCAAAACCATGTGGCCCATCTTAGGAAAAAGAACACACCAGCAGTGGTTGAAGGGGGCAGGGATGAGGCTTAAAGATTGAAGGGAGCAGGGTAGGGATTAAAAGAGGGCAGGCAGGAGGCTGGAGCTTCTCTGATCCTCACAGATGCATTTGAATTGTGTGCAGACTGGCAAGGGTATGCAGGAGCACTGCCTGGCAATTTTTCTCAGGAGACTTGTCTGGCTGGGGCTGTTAAAAGGGGAGCAATGAGGCTAAGAGGAATTTGCATCTAGGCTGGGCACACTTGATTTTTTTTTTTTTCCAAATGCCAAAGTAACACATGACATTGAACTTGTGTGACCTCACCAGCCCAGCTTTTCCAGAAAGTCTTTATCAGCTTTTGTTTCTACAGATAGGGTTGATTTCTTTAATTTGCCCAGAACACACCATCTCTTTATCAGGAGCATAATCACGTGATAGGCAGAAATTCTTGCTGAGAAATCATCTGCATTCAGTACCAAAGCAAGTTCTTGCCTGCTGCCGCGGAGCGAGGATCAGGTCTCACCCTGAGGTTTCTCTAACAGTCTGTCAAGAGCCAACCTCATCGTGGTTTCCGGTGGCGATTCCATCACCGGTGACATTTGTTTGACTTTCCCAAGGCTAAATTGCTTCCATAGAGATACTTGTAAAGAATGATCATTTCAAAATAACATTATAATTTCTGAGTAACTGCAGTGTCTGCTGAGGGTGATGTTGTGACCTCTGCTGGGCAGCGCTGCCGTTGCATTGGCTCCTGTGAGGTTGCCCACACGCTCATCTTTGGTCTCCCACAGCACGGTGAGTATTAAGTGTGTGCCGGGCCACCACTGGGTCCCTAAGTGAAACCAGAGAAGCCCAGGGCCAGATTTAGAAGGCAGCTGAAAACAACTGCTACTTTCTGTCGTCTAATGGTATTTTGAGCTGAGGGCTTTGAGCTCACCCTTTCATTGAGCAAAGAGCCTGACCGAGGGCAACAGTCACAGCCCTGCAGAAGGTTTGAGTCACCCAGAGGTGGCCTGTGGTTGATGGTTACATGTGATGACAGCTCAGATTGTATTTCTAGAACAGTCGAAATATCCATGAATCTGTTTCACCAAGAATGAACCACATCAAGGGTTCATCTTGTGGCTTCCCATTCATTCCTTCCTTTTGCTAAATTTTCAAGTTATGGCATTGATAGCTAGGAGGGACCTTCAGAGCCTGAGAAACAGGGCAGACACAAGCGTATCCAGGGTTGCAGTCTGCGCTGGATATTTGCGGAGATTTGCTATGAGGGTGGGAAGAGAGGGCCAGGGGAGAATGAACCAGTTGTTCTACAACAATCATTTTATCAGGATGTGCACATTGAAGTATGATATTGTGTGACTTGATTGTCTACAACTTTCTTTTTAAAAATAAAACATATTTCTAATATTACTTTAAAAATACCCTAATATCACTTACATCCCCAGTGGAGTCTCCTAGTTAAGCTTCTAGAAGAAGGCAGAGACAGAGCTACTCAGCCAGGACCCATGGAGGCCAGCTTTGCATTTACTATTTTATTAAACCCATGGATCTTATTACGAAGCATGAAAGATATCCTCCATTCAAAAATGAAGAAAACCAGACACAAGAAGTTAAAATCCCCTGGGTTATAGAGCAGACCTAGGTGCCCAGCTCTTTTCCTTCCATTCCCTTTCCATTTTCTTACCTTTTGAAATTTCAATTCTGAGCTGTAAGTGGGAGGAGAAAAACCTACCTAATGATTGGACTGGGCTCAAGTTCCATGACACAAATGATCTATCTCTTGTACAGAGATGGTGGACTTAGTGACTTTTCACACAAGGCTTTAGGTAAGACCATTCATGTCTCTTCTTGCTGTAGAATTGGGATAATTGCATTCTTCTGCTTGCAGGGTTCATGGAAAATTCATATTCAGCTTTAATTACAGTAAGTTCCTGGAAAGGCCACTGAGTGCCTGTGATTTTCACATCAGCTCATGAGCACTTTCAGCTCACCATAGCTGGACAGCTGATTTTAAATATGCTTCACCCCTTTGGCTGTAAGATAGATGTTTTCCTGTCTCCATCTATCTAGTTGCCATAGATCAACTTGCCGGAAAAGCAACAGGTAATTCCATTCATGTTTCTAGCCACTCACAACATCTCTCCTTGCCTCATACTAGTCTGCCTCACTTGGAAGGATGAAGTCACACAGGACCAGATCCAGACTGGAACCCAGGCAATCTTGCTCTGCTTTCTCCGGACCCCATTACAATACTGTTTTGTCAACTCTAACCCTCTCCTTCCACAGCTCTTTCCCTGTGTTCTCTAGGCATATCTCTATGACATCTTCCAGGAATGCCATGGTGGAGGGAAATGCCCTACACTTTCCAAGCATTGGTCTTAAGTAATCTCACCGATGAATGCTTTAGCAGATTTTCCTATTCATACCTCATGGGACATTATGAGGTGAAGAATCTGCCTCACTTTATAAAGTGACAGTATATAGTAGTTGTGGGTAGGGTTCCCTTAGGCCCAACCATTGAGGTCCATGAATCCTTTCTGGCCATTCTTTTTAAGGTAAGGGCTAGGATGACTTAGCAGATGACTATGTATACACATTTCTTCATTGCCATTTATGAATTGAAGGCAGACGCCCAATGAAATTGTGCATATATTAACTGAGTAGAATCCAGTTTTTGCAGTGTAAAAATCCAGAAGACAGAGTGGTCATCTTCTTGGTTTGATCAGTCAGCTGGTCCTGCAGATGAGGTAATCAGTGGAAGTTTGTAGTAGAGATCCTTGACCTCTCCTTCACTTTGTAATTTGATACTCTGTGTACACATTATATTGCTAGCACTAGGTCCTAAAATTCCTTGATCCCCCCCCCTCCCATTTGGAGTTCACTGTTGACCTTTGGTTCCTCATGAATCCCATAATCCTTGCTTTGCTTAAGGAATTCCTGGTAGCCCTTTTGATTTCTATTCCAGCTGATTCTTTTGGCATCCATAGAACCCATCATTTATCTCTGAGCAAGCAAAGGGTCTTCAAGGGCTCATACTTTTAACATTACCATAAGGGAAAAGCAGTAACATTTAGTAGACACTGGTTTTGACTGTGGGTCTTCATGGGCTGATGCATTCTGCTATGGCCATGTTTCTGAGTATTGAGCAGTAGCATTGAGCTGCCTTTCCAGTTAGCACCTTGTTCATGACAGGAAATTGTTGAAGTTCTGCAGTGTGCTGGGATGCTTAGCTGGCCTAAGGGATGGACGAAGTGGATTCAGTGCACTTTAGCCGTGATCTTTCCAGCTTGGGATGAGTTCATTG